CCTTTTCAGCAAACCTAGCTTGAATCATTCTTGAATTCCTTGAACTAGATGTTAAATTTTTTTGTGATTATTACATTTCCACAACATGCTGACATTATTATTAATAAACTTGTTTTAGTATTTTAAACACTGTACTGCTATCCCTTTTTTTCTAAATGTTTTTAGAAATTCCCTTTAATATCAAGATTTCAAATAGATTGAAGGCAAACTGTCAAAGCAACTTGTCATTCTACTCATAAAAGTTTATTGGGATTTAAAAAGCACTAGGTTCGTGAACTTCTGATGCTGCTTTAGCAAGAGCCCTGAATTGGTGCATAGCAATAGCTCATGTTTACCCTGCCATAATCATACAATATCCTGTCCATCAATTAGTTTCGTCATTGCAAAACAAAGCTGATGTTTTAGGCTGGGTTTACTGTTTTTTAATATTGCCTAGTACAGCTAGCAAAACTAAAAAGCGCTTTTTGTTTACAAAATGCTACTGATATGACAGAGAGTTTAAAAAATGATTAAAGCCAGCAATTTTGCAGTTCTTGCTTTTCAATAACTGCTTCCACTGCACAGAAAATTCTTTCTACTACGACCTGGTAGCTCTCAGTTAAGGTGCTGCCACTATGAAGAAAAAATTTGATTTTTAAATTTCCATCCAGCTGGTCTGCAGCTGGAAACTAAAAACAGTCCAGTTCTGCACATTAACCATCATCCCCTCTAGTATAACCATTAAAAAAATGTATCTTTGTTTTAAAAGCACTGGGTTACAATTTTGTGATATGATGGCAATGATGGTTTAAGGTATGGTGATGTAGTGGCCTGTGGATTGGTTTTATGTATTAGTTTTAAAGGAATATAAGCCTCTTGTGGCCTGTAGATTGCCTTTTTGTTTTCTTAGGCGAAAGAGGGTTGTTGCTGCTGTGGGTAATCGTGTATTATAAATCTTTAAAGAGGTTAGAAGTCCCTTGAATATGCCTGCGTCCGCTCGTGAAGTAAAGGCAATCTTCTTTAGAGACCTTTAAATGTGTGATTCTTTTATAGCTATTGCATTGCTGTTCTTTTTTCTCTTTTTTTACCATTGGTGAAGAAGATCTCAGATGCTGAGTTCTTTATTTTCACTGTTTTAGTAGAGCATAAAATCAGTAGAGAATCATAACAAGATGTGCGCCATTCGAGTCTCATCCTGTCCCTGCAGAAGGTTTGAAAGCTGTCTGGGTGTATTTGTATGTTTTTCTAATGTGTTTGGTTTGTTTTTAGGGCATTTCTGTGATAGTATCTCACTTTAATGGGCTGTTTTAGAAGCACAGCATCCTCTGCTCTACATCTGCGCACTTCTATATGCAGCCTTTTTTTTTTTAGAAGCAACAACACCGCCTCTGTGGATGCACGCCGGATATTAGCTACCCCCCTGAGCGATCTTCCAGCCCCATTTTTAGCCCCCCTTTCCCTCTATAACTTGTTCATCCAGAGCCCCCTACAGATAGTCTCCTGCTTTGTTTTCAACTCTCACTGCATTCAAAGGGAAACACAGAAATCAAGCCCTGCTGTCAGCACCTCATTTGCTACTTTATACATTCATTTAAGACAAATTCCTCTGTAGGCATACTATTTATTAGCAACGGTTGCTTTACAGTGTAATAAATTAATTACATAACAAAGATGACTTTGGACAGAGGTTTTACAATGCCTCAACCTTGATGCACAAAAAGTGATTACAAGTGTTTCAGGTTTACAGGAGCAAGCATTTCATGTTAACCACGTAATTAGAGTTCCTTTAATATGTTTAACTTGAACCTGTTCCGTCATTTGAAACAAAAATGTTGAAGCTTTCCCTTTCAAAAACCCTGTTCTTCCTTTGAAAAAGCAAAGAGGCCCAGCTCCAGTGTTGTGTCCAAAGGGCTGCAGTACCCCTGGTCTCCCTTTGCTCTCTCCACCGGCTGGACCAGCAGAGTCAGAGTGTGATTGGCTCTGTGCTTCAGACTGTGTGATTCTCTGCAGCAGGGTAATGTCACCCTGGTTCAACATCACAGCTCATTCTGTACTTTTATTCTCCTCTGAGCCTTTAAACGGTTCATTAGTCTTTAACAAGACTGCAGAGCCCACTCCAAACTCTGCTTTAACCCCTCTGTGCCTGGCTCACCCTCGGACTTCGCCAGTACATGCTTCGGTTCTCTTTCTGTGCTCAGAAGTGATTTTTGCAGTTTTAGTTTCAGTGTTCGAATCAAATGAGTTAAAGGTATTTGAGATTCTGATCACTGCAAACTGTGTCCAACAGCAGCAGGATCCGTAGTGTGGGGGCTGCTTTGGAGCGAAGTCGTTCTCATGGACGCTCTTGCTGAATAGAGGACATTGATGCTTTTCTATCCTGCTACGCCCTGGCTAGCTTTCCTTCTTTCCCTGGGCTGTCATTCCCTGAATGAGCCTTTCAGGAATCCAGGGTTGCAGGGTGGGATACAAAACATCTCTCTGCTCATTAAAGGCCGACAGGTCCCTGGGTACTTTTAAACCCATTTTCAGAAATTACAGAATTGGCTCATCCTGTAACTACGACATTTTGTAGAGTTTTCTTTTTTGATGCACGACAAGTGGAAGCAACTCTCAAATCTTGTATGTTAATGCTGCCTGTGTTTCACACATTTAATGGCTTCATAATGTCGACATGTAAATGAATCAAATGTAAAACAAAGAAATTAAACGGTAATACACATCGCTATTAAAAGCATTTATGAATTAAATGGAAATGAGGTTGTCCCCGTTAAGAGTGTAATGGAACCAAGTGCTTCCTTTTAGCAGTAGCTAAACTGAGGCCTGTCTTTATTTATTTTCCCTTCAATCTTATTACATTTGACTTTTTGATTACTTTGCATTTATTTTGCAACAGATGTGAACATTTATTGTTCCACAATAAACACATTTTGTTTGTTTTTTCTTTTTTTAGTTTTTACGGCACTAGTGGCTTTTTATTTTGATAGTAGCCTGACAGGAAAGGGGATATATAAGAGGGGGAGAGACATGCGGGAAAGGACCACAGGTCGGATTCGACCCGGGTCGGCCGCATCGAGGACTCTGTACATTGGGTCGTGCGCGCTAACCACCTGCACACCCAACAGTAGACAAATTTTGAACACATTTTGAATAATTTATTTTCTTAAATAAAAGAAAAGCACAAACAAAATCATTGTAATTGCGGCTGACCAGGATTTATTAGCCTGTTTTTAATCTCTGGTATCAGCTACTGATTTTATGCAACTCCAATCTGTTATCTGTTTAAGGACTTTATATTAAGATAAAGTAAGAATTGCATTAAAAAAATCGTTTTATGAACCTTGAAAAATGGTTTGACAATGTTTTGTGTTTACATCGTGAGTTGGGGTTAAAAGCTCCATAGGATGGGGTGGGAGAACTTTGGGGTGGGATGGGGTGGGAGAACTTTTCCTAACCGGGGTGGGAGAACCTTTCCTAACTAAACTAAAGATTACAGATCCTGTAATCTGTGAGCCTTGCTTTGGCTCAATCACCTGCAGCCTTCATACCTTGCAGACTCCATGCATTAGAAAGTACAGCTTTCTTCTATATGGCTCACATGTCACTGTGCTTCTCATATCTTTTGTTTTTAAACTCTTTATAAATGCAAACAGCGGTTATCTTTGATGCGCCTGTACTCTGTTACAGCATTCACACTGAAGAGGGAAAAATACACTATATTGCCAAAAGTATTTGCTCACCTGCCTTGACTCACATATGAGCTTAAGTGACATCCCGTTCCTAATCCATAGGGTTCAATATGACGTCGGTCCACCCTTTGCAGCTAGAACAGCTTCAACTCTTCTGGGAAGGCTGTCCACAAGGTTTAGGAGTGTGTTTATGGGAATTTTTGACCATTCTTCCAGAAGCGCATTTGTGAGGTCGCACACTGATGTTGGACGAGAAGGCCTGGCTCTCAGTCTCCGCTCTAATTCATCCCAAAGGTGTTCTATCGGGTTGAGGTCAGGACTCTGTGCAGGCCAGTCAAGTTCATCCACACCAGACTCTGTCATCCATGTCTTTATGGACCTTGCTTTGTGCACTGGTGCACAGTCATGTTGGAAGAGGAAGGGGCCAGCTCCAAACTGTTCCCACAAAGTTGGGAGCATGGAATTGTCCAAAATGTCTTGGTATGCTGAAGCATTCAGAGTTCCTTTCACTGGAACTAAGGGGCCAAGCCCAGCTCCTGAAAAACAACCCCACACCATAATCCCCCCTCCACCAAACTTTACACTTGGCACAATGCAGTCAGACAAGTACCGTTCTCCTGGCAACCGCCAAACCCAGACCCGTCCATCAGATTGCCAGATGGAGAAGCGCGATTCGTCACTCCAGAGAACGCGTCTCCACTGCTCTAGAGTCCAGTGGCGGCGTGCTTTACACCACCGCATCCGACGCTTTGCATTGCACTTGGTGATGTATGGCTTGGATGCAGCTGCTCGACCATGGAAACCCATTCCATGAAGCTCTCTGCGCACTGTTCTTGAGCTAATCTGAAGGCCACATGAAGTTTGGAGGTCTGTAGTGATTGACTCTGCAGAAAGTTGGCGACCTCTTCGCACTATGCGCTTCAGCATCCGCTGACCCCGCTCCGTCAGTTTACGTGGCCTACCACTTCGTGGCTGAGTTGCTGTCGTTCCCAAACACTTCCATTTTCTTATAATACAGCTGACAGTTGACTGTGGAATATTTAGGAGCGAGGAAATTTCACGACTGGATTTGTTGCACAGGTGGCATCCTATCACAGTTCCACGCTGGAATTCACTGAGCTCCTGAGAGCGACCCATTCTTTCACAAATGTTTGTAAAAACAGTCTGCATGCCTAGGTGCTTGAATTTATACACCTGTGGCCATGGAAGTGATTGGAACACCTGATTCCAATAATTTGGATGGGTGAGCAAATACTTTTGGCAATATAGTGTATTTCAGTTTCTGATCTTTGGAGGTCAGCATTAACACTTTACTGATTCCTTTTCCCGTTTCAGGGGGTGCCTCAGCTTCCTTGTGCCAAAGCACTGTATAACTATGACGGCAAGGAACCAGGAGACCTCAAATTCAGCAAGGGCGACATCATCATCCTGCGCCGGCAAGTAGATGAGAACTGGTACCACGGGGAGATGGGTGGAGTCCATGGCTTTTTCCCCACTAACTTCGTCCAGGTCATCAAGCCTCTGCCGCAGCCGCCGCCTCAGTGCAAAGCTCTCTACGACTTTGAGCTGAAAGACAAGGAGGCCGACAAGGACTGCCTGCCCTTCTCGAAGGTGAGGCGCTGCAGACGTTCAGCAACTTCTCTCCTGCCACATAGTCAGCACCGTAAAACAAAAATACCTCTCATTACAGTGACGCTTCTGTCTTGCAAGCCCTCATTTGGTGGAGTTATGTGTGTGTTAGAATGTCAGGCTTTTTAAATGAAACACCCACAGCAACAGTTTGGGTTTTAAGTCGAGGCTCTAGATAAGCAGCTATAATTAGGCAGCAGAGAATTATTGCCATATAGAACGAGGCATCGCTTAACTACAGTAATTAAGCCGCTTTGTTTATCCAGCTGTCGGGTCATACATTGATTGTTTTGGATTATGTCATCAATGTATACGCCACATAAGCAAAAGCAGAAACAACCTCTGCAAGTAGCTCATCTGACAGGCTGTTTTTAGTCCCAGGTGTTCTATTTCATAAACCTCAAAACTCCTCTTCTCATTATTTCTGTTCCAAAGTTTATTCCCTGATGTTGAGCAACACTCCGAGTTAGATACGAACCCTTATTTACATTTTTCCTCATGCTTTCCCCCTCCCTGTTGTGTTATTCTAGGATGATATTCTGACTGTGATCCGCAGAGTTGATGAAAACTGGGCCGAGGGAATGCTGGGAGATAAAATTGGAATTTTCCCCATCTCATACGTGGAGGTAAGGGAGTAACTTGATTCTTGAAATGAAACGGTTCTTCAGGCCTCAGCAACATGTCTGGATACTTCCAGGATCATATGATTGTGTCCTGGGTTTATTTTGCTCTATATTTACTTCTTAATATTTAGATATTAGAATTATTTACCTTTTTTTGGATCCTTTCTTTCCTGTCCTAAAAAGAAACACCCTGGGTCCATTCTTTTCTTTATAAATGGGTTTATTAGGAATCACAAAAAAGTAAAAATCTTAGGTTTAATATCGTTTGCATCCACATTACTCCTCAAACCTTTTTGTTTTTCCAGTTGAATCTTAAGAAATCCGACTCCTGATAAAACCGAAAAAACTCAGTGACCTCCTTCTGATAGATCCTATCTACTGAAGGCATCAAACCACATTCCTTACACTAGACTAGAAGTAGAAAATTGACAAATTATTTTAAATCACCAGTTTTCTAACATCCCAAACAACTTTAAAGACACAAAATGCTTATGGGATTGAACAGGCCAGCACTGATATTTGTCATTTATTCAGGAGGAATAAACTCAAGCGTAGCAGGATATTTACAAAGATATTTTATCCCAGAATGGGTTACTCAGATCATTTATTTCCTCTATCTTGTAAAATATGGTATGAGAATAATTTTCAGATGCATCATTTTCATTTTAAACAATATTGTTTATAGTGAAGGGTCAGAATTGAGTGTTTTTACTGTTTAAACAATAAGTTTAAAGAACGAATAATGCGTTTCCTTGCCTCATGTAGTTTTTGTACACAGTCCTCTGAAGTTGATGTCTGGTAAATGTGCAGTAAGAATGAAGGGCATTCATCCGGTGTTTTACTCCTGGATGTCTCCCCTAATGTCCTGACATTTCAGTGATTAACCCACACAGACTTTCCACTAGACTGCAGTGAAACACTTGGCTTTAAGTAAAAAGAGCTGCTTGGGGCAAGAGAAAATGGCAAGTTGAAGCACCCTGTGATTAACTGAAACTGCTGCTTTGATTTTTACCTTCGTCAGTCAGTCTCGCATTTCTCTGGTCCTAAAGAGATGAAAACCTGAAGTTTTATTGCTGGCTGAGACCAATGAGCTTCCTACAGAAAAAATTACCAATTTTATCAACTTGTCTCTGTTCTTCTAAACTTTTTTTGCTATCCCTGCACCTTGGAGGCAGATTTTTAGAATAGTTGTTCCCTGTTAATGATTCTCTCTCTGTTGCCCCCCCTCCCGTCGTGTTTTCTTGTAGTTCAACTCTGCAGCACGCCAGCTTATAGAGTTGGACAAGCCATCCGATTCCAGTGGAGACTCCATTGAAGGGGCCTCCCAGGGGCCCCAGAGCAATGGCGCCCAGCGGCCAGGAGAGAAGAAGAACACTAAGAAACGGCATTCCTTCACTTCTCTCACCATGTCCCACAAACCCATGCTAGCTCCTCCCCCCCAGCGCCACTCCATGGAGATTAGCGGGCCGGTCCTCATCAGCTCCAGTAACCCCACCGCAGCGGCTCGGATTGGAGAGATCAGTGGCGGGCTTTCCTGCAGCGCACCTTCACAGGTATGATTGTCCACGACGATTAGCTTCAGTCTGTGTTTTCTGCAAGTCAATCAGCTCTGTCTAACAAGTTCTATTAGAGTCAACATTTTAGATCCAGCATCAACACGTGGACAGGAGCTGAAACCTAAAATAAGGAACTATTTTCATAAACTGCCTACCTAATCAGACCTTTAGCATAAGGCTGGCAAAGTCAGAGAAGGGCTGCAACTAACAATAATTTTGTTAATTAATTAATCTGTTAATGATTTTTTTCAGTTATTTGATCCATTATCAGATAGCAAAAGGTTCCTTAATGAAAAGCTTTTACTAAATTAAACAAGGTGTAACTAAAACTTTGTAGCTGTTTTCATTGGAAATATACAGAGAAATGGCATAACCAATTATAACTTCTATAAGTTTGTTCAGTGGCAATTTTTTTATCCTTTAACTGCTAAAAGTTTGGGAATTCTTCACTGTAGGTGACGATGAATGGACACAATTTGTGGGTGTCAGATAGATTTGGATAGAGTTCCCAGAAAATCTACTGAAGTAAAGTTAGCACTAGTGCTGGGCGATATGGAAAAAATCATATCACGATATAGACTATTTTATATCGCAATAACGATATATATCACAAAATGCCCCAATTAAGTACGTTTTCAGCAAATCTCTGGGTTTTATTTTTGCAACTTTCTCCCGCTGTTTCACAAATTGCTTTACCTCGCACTTTTTGGATCCTTATGTATTCATTTTCATGGTTCTTCTTTAGGTGATAGAAGTTTGTTGTGTTCCCGTCGGGTGAGGGAACATTCTTGTAGCATAGTTTGCAAATGACCGTTGTCTTCTCCATGTCGGACTTCTTAAATCCAAAATGTAACCATATCACAGACATGCCTCTTTTTGGTAACAGTGCTTCATCTTGGATTGCCTGCGTAGTTGTCTCTGTTTGTTGCGACCACGGGTTTAATACTTCAGCCTGCTGCGTCTCCATCTCTCATGAGTTAAGTAACGTAAAGCATGTCGCAAACCCGCGACATGTGAGTCAAAAGCAGTAAAGAAGCGTCATGTTGCAAAACCACACGATGGCGCTTCTTGGTTGATTAAAAAAAAGGTCTTGCTTATCACTTATAATCTGTGTGTAGGCTACGTCGCTATAGACACTTTTCTATTGTCCGTACGATATGTATCGTCATATCGCCCAGCCCTAGGTAGCACTACTTCATCGTATTTTAACTTGAGTTTATTTAATTAATTAATTAATTACCCAAGTAAAAGTAAAAACGTATTTTGTGAAAAAATGCTGCTCAAGTACTGAGTAACTTTATATGTTTTAGGAAATAATGTAAATTTACAAAACTATAAGTTTACCTGCAAAATTATGAAGCTGAGATAAAAAAAAAAAAAAAAATATATATATATATATATATATATATATATATATATATATATATATATATATATATATATATATATATATATATATATTAGGGATGGGACGATTTATGAAAACCGTCAGAATCGTTCGGTTCGACTGTCTCGGTTCGGTTCGCGTGTGTTTCGTTCGGTTCAAGCGCTGCTCCTTTTTCTCATAGAGGAAGCGATTACACTCCAGAGCAGAAGGTGGCAGTGCTGCGACCAAAGCCAACCGCCAGTAGTAAACAAGAAGAAGAAGAAGCGACGCAGCTTAGCCGGGTGTAGCAGGGGAAACTAATCAGTTGTTGTGGAGAATTGTGTAGGACTGGCGAGTGGGAAAGAACAGGAGTTGGAAGACGCGCCAGCAGCACTTTATAGGTCTGCTGTATGGGACCACTTTGCATTTAGAGTGACCTACGATGACGGCGGAAAGAAAGTTGTGGATAAAAGTGCATCAGTGTGCAAGCATTGTGCAACACGTTTTGTTTATGCTAACAGCAACATGTCATGCTAACCCCGAAATCCCTCATACTCCGTCAGCAACCCCCGCTCCGCCCCGCTGCGCTCCAGACCGGCTGCTCAAAGCAAAGCCTACAGCCCCCACTGTTGCTTCGTCTGCTCCCCTCTGAGTCCCTTGGAGATGGTAGAGAGCATGCGCCAGATGATTAAATTCAAAGCAGCAAAACATACGGAAATGATCCAGGGTTTCTGCGGATCATTTAAAAAAATTACAATCCATTATTTTTTGGGGGATTTTTTCATTAATTTCATAAATTTTTATGGGATTTCGGTGTAACAATCAACATGTATCGAATCGAACCGAAAACCGTGACCAGAAACCGTGAATCGAACCGAACCGTGGATTTTGTGAACCGTTCCACCCCTATATATTTATATATATATATTTATATATATATATATTTATATATATATATATATATATATATATATATATATATATATATATATATATATATATATATATATATATATATATATATATATATATAAATAACATTCTTAAACAATGTTTTCCAATAAAAGTTTAGCTTTAAGTTAACATGTTTGAGCTCCAAGTGACACAGCAGGATAAAAAATAACATTAAAACAAAGAAGCTGGAGTAAAAAAAGTCTCACTAAGACATTAACTGTTTATTTCTGGTTAAAGCCTTTTCTTCATTGAGTAAAAGTTACTCATGATGGGTGGAGTAGCCAGACATTTTAGTAAGAGTAGTGATACCTCATCATATTTTTACTAAAGTAAAAGCAAATAGTAAAATGCAGAAAAAATACTCATTAAAGTACATTTTTCTCAGAAATGTACTTCATTAAATTTAACTGAGTAATTGTAACTAGTTAGGACCCACCTCTGGTGTCGGATAATGAGCTGACAGAGCAGACGCTTTCTGATCATAAATGTTGGGTTTGGTTTGTTTTATTTGGGTATTTAACTTTAATGTGTCTTTAACAGTTTTTTATGGTGTGTTGTAAAAGCCAAATTTATCTGATGAAAATAAAATACAACCGATTTTTTATTTCAGTAACTAAATATCTAGTCTATGGAATTAATGTACTTATCAGTTGTTTGGGTTAGATCTTTGACATTTTTTTGTTGAACTTGCTGGAAAAACAAAATTTCTGCTCTTTAGATTTTATTTTTGCTTTCACACTAGATTAAATAGTAAAGCCAATTATTTTTACGTTATTCAATGTTTTGTTTGTCTCCTTTTCTTGACATATTTATTGTTCTTCTTCAGCTTCAGAGAGTGAGATGCTTTTTTCTTCCTGGGTTTCTGTCCCAAGTTATTTTGTAGAAATGGGGCTTTATTTCAAAACATTTTAAATGCACAGATGTTCTTATAGCTTTTTTAAGCCCCTCCTCTGGTTTGGACACATTCTCTGAACCACTTCAGTAAATTCCACCAACATGGCCATTATATAGGATTCTACACACAATCATTTCTGCATTAGTCCACCTAACTCTTGTTTTTTTCCCCAAAGCACCATCCCCCTGTGAACAATTATGCACACTTCCCTTTTTTCCCTCTCATACCAAAAAAAAAAACTATTATTGCATGTAAGTGTTTAAAGTCGTTGCTTTTTGACTTGACTCATCCTTTGAAATGACTCCACCTTACCCCCTCAAGGAAGTTTGGTCTTATTTCAATGCTTGAAGGTCAGAAAAACAGACGTGGTTAGAAACAGAACAATTACCATCTTAAGGCTTTAAACTGAATCAGCAGCTGAGAATAAAGAGCCTGAGAAACTGGGATGAAAAAGCCTCCTTTTATTATGTGGTTTCAGCAGACATGAATTTATCATTTGTTTTTCCAGACAGAGCCTCATTGGTGTTCTCATTCCTCTTACAGCATTATTTATGTTCAACAATGAGTGGCCTTGAAAGAGAACAGAGTTTTGGTTTGTGAATATGAAACACTTTAAGGACCACATTTTTAGACGTCCCCATCTTGCTGAGCTAATGTCCTACTTCCGTCGCCTCTGAGCTGTCATGCAGCTTGCCTTTTGTTCATAACTTCTGTGTTTTTGTGTATTTTTATCTTGAACATATTCCCTTTCTCCAAATGTGTGTGCCAAAGCCCTCTATTGACCCGTTATCATTAAAATCACATCTTTCCTGAGTTTGATTTGCTTCTCTTTGAAGCGAACACAATGCTCATCCACTGCCAAGCCATTTCTGCTTATCTTTGCCTGATCATATTGTGCTTTTGACTTTCACCAATGATGCCAAGAGAGTCTAGTTGCAGACATGCGCTGTCAGAACAGGAAGTTTATTCGAAGCCTTTCAAAGTAAAATATATATAACTAGTACATAGTATACCGGAAATATTTTAGGTTCCCGGGTTTATTTCCTGGGTCTACATAATTTCAATTCAATTCAATTCAATTCAGTTTATTTATATAGCGCCAAATTCACAACACATGTCATCTCAAGGCACTTTACAGTTCAACCAGATCATACAGTCAAATTGATACAAAGTTTTCTATCTAAGGAAAACCAGTTGATTGCATCGACTCATTGACTCAAATACAATCCCCCACACTAAGCATGCTTGTAGCGACAGTGGAGAGGAAAAACTCCCTTTTAACAGGAAGAAACCTCCAGCAGAACCAGGCTCAGTGTGAGCGGCCATCTGCCGAGGCCGACTGGGGTTCAAGGAGACAGAAGCAGAGATACAAAAAGCAGCTGTAAAAGGCGGCCCCGTCCAGGAAACACACAGCCAGGCAGACGAGCTCCAAGGCAGCTCCCATGTCAGAGGACGAAGAGAGCACATCCACTCAGTCACGGTCAGAGAAACAGGACCACACTGGAAAACAGGCCGATCTCCAACATCTATAAACAAGGGTGTTGATAGAAGCAGCACAGCTGATGTTTCTTTCCAGGATGGCGTCACAGCCAAACAGGAACAGACGAGGCAAAGCTACTCTGAGGAAAAGCAGAGAGAGCAGAAGGTTAGAGATTGAACTAACAGATTCTGCAGAATAGGAGAACAGAGAGAGAATGAAGCAGAATGATGAAATGGGGGTCCCTATGTCCTCCAAAAGTCTAAGCCTATAGCAGCATAACTATAGAGATAGCTCAGGATAAC